CAGAGGCTGGATGGCCATCTGTCAGGGGTGCTTTGAATGCAATATTCCTGCTTCTTAGCAGGGGGTTGGACTGGATGGCCCATGAGGTCTCTTCAACCCTATGATTCTATGATTCTATCACTGACACATCAAAACAAGAACCCCAGCCTTACCATTTTATTCCCACTTAATGTAAACCAGTGTTTCTCAACCTGGGGATCAGGACCCTTGGGGGGGGTCACAAGGGGGTGTCAGAGGGGTCGCCAAAGAGCATCAGAAAACACAGTATTTTCTGTATTGTCGAAGGCTTTCATGGCCGGAATCACTGGGTTGTTGTAGGCTTTTTCGGACTATATGGCCATGTTCTAGAGGCATTTCTCCTGATGTTTCGCCTGCATCTATGGCAAGCATCCTCAGAGGTAGTGAGGTCTGTTGGAACTAGGAAAAAGGGTTTATATATCTGTGGAATGATCAGGGTGAGACAAAGGACTCTTCTCTGCTGGAGCTAGGTGTGAATGTTTCAACTGACCACCTTGATTAGCATTTGATTGCCTGGCAGTGTCAGTATTTTCTGTTTTGTGTGGGAAGTTTGGCCCAATTCTATCATTGGTAGGGTTCAGACTGCTCTTTGATTATAGCTGAACTATACACTTAAATTAAGTTCTGAATAAAGGTATTTACTGTTCCCTGAAGGGTGGGGGAGGGGGGGGAGGGGTGTAAAATTGTAAGACACAAGGGTAAGGTGAAGGGGAGACAGATAAGAGCACTAGGTAATTATAATGTGATATGTGTTATATGGTATGTGATATGTTTCCAGAATGTAATTTAGTAACTGAATTTCTAACAATGAGTGGATGTGATGGTATTATATTTGTGTCGGAAAATTCTAATAAATAAATTTATTAAAAAAAAAAAGATTATAGCTGAACTATAAATCCCAGCAACTACATCCCTCAAATGTCACGGTCTATTTCCCCCAAACTCCACCAGTCAGGCATGTAGCCAGGGGGGAGGGGGTGTTGGTGTTGAGCCCCCCCCCCCCGAAATTCTCATGGTGGTTCGCGAAAGGCCTTACTGGTGCATTATTTAAACTGTTATGTTTATTCATATCATGATCTGATCACCATACTCAATATATCCCATATGCATGGGGGTATTGGGATAATGATACAAAAGGTTTGCTAGGGTAGATCCTCAGCCCCCCCCCCGCCCCCGAATTAAACTCAGCCCCCCCCCCCAATCAAAATTCTGGCTATGGGCCTGCCACCAGTGCTCACATTTGGGCATATTGAGTATTCGTGCCAAGTTTGGTCCAGATCTATGATTGTTTGAGTCTGCAGTGCTCTCTGGATTTAGGTGAACTACAACTCCCAAACTCAAGGTCAATGCCCACCAAACCCTTCCAGTATTTTCTGTTGGTCATGGGAGTTCTGAGTGCCAAGTTTGGTTCAATTCCATCATTGGTGGAGTTCAGATTGCTCTTTGATTGTAGGTGAACTATAAATCCCAGCAACTATGACTCCCAAATGACAAAATCAATCCCCTTCGACCCCACCAGTATTCAAATTTGGGCATATCGGGTATTTTTGTCAAATTTGTTCCAGTAAATAGAAATAGATCCTGCATATCAGATATTTATATGACGATTCATAACAATAGCAAAATTATAGTTATGAAGTAGCAATGAAAGTAATGTTATGGTTGGGGGTCACCAGAACATGAGGGACTGTATTAAGGGGTTCGAGGCATTAGGAAGGTTGAGAACCACTGATGTAAACCCTTCCTTTCTTATAATGGCTCATTAATCTGTGGAAAACTTTCTTGCTCAGCAAAACAAAGAATTTTGTGAGGAATATGCTATAAATGCTATCTTTAGGGCCTGTTGGTAATGATAAGAGTTGATTAATCCCAAGCCACCAGTAATGTGACCTAGTTGTAACAACTCTGTGTGTGCATTTGTGACTGTTGATATATGGCAAGCCCATTAATTTCATTGGGTTTTCTTATGCAAGGAATATTCTGAACTCATTTTCCCAGTAACATCCTCTGAAATATAGCACTTACTCATTGACATCACCTGTCTAAGGACTAATAAGGGTTTATATATTGTCGAAGGCTTTCATGGCCGGAATCACTTGGTTGTTGTAGGTTTTTCCGGGTTATATGGCCATGTTCTAGAGGCATTTTCTCCTGACGTTTCGCCTGCATCTATGGCAAGCACCCTCAGAGGTAGTGAGGTCTGTTGGAAGTAGGAAAATGGGTTTATATATCTTATTATTAGACAGGATCTGATGTGTTTAAGGTTAGGGTTACTTTTATAAATTTTTAAAAACTAGTATATTGGTTAGTTAGTATGTGGATGTAAAGCCTGATGGGGAGGGAGGGGTTGAAAGGTGATTATAGAGATATTAGGGTGGCACTGCATCCTATGTCAGGGGATGATCTTCTAACTGAAGTGTTCTCTGTTTGAAGGATTGTTTAATCCAAGACAGGCTCCAGTCCTTCCTGGAGGGTCGTACCCTGAAGGTGTTGTTAGGGGACTCCTGCTCGGCCCCACAGCCATTGTCCTGTGGGGTCCCGCAGGGCTCAGTATTGTCCCCCATGTTGTTTAACATCTACATGAAGCTGTTGGATGTTGGATAATCAGGAGTTTTGGAGTCTGATGCTATCTATATGCAGATGACGTCCAACTCTATCACTCATTTCCACCCAATGCTAAGGAGGCTGTCCGAGTTTAAACTGGTGCCTGGCTGCTGTGATGGTCTGGATGAGGGTGAGCAAATTGAAGTTGAATCCAGACAAGACAGAGGTCCTCCTGGTCAGTCGCAAGGCCAGACAGGGTATAGGGTTAATCCCCTTGAAGGCACAGGTTCGCAGCTTGGGAGTCCTCCTAGACTCATCACTGAACCTGGAATCCCAGGTTACAGCGGTGGCCAGGGGAGCTTTCACACAATTAAAACTTGTGTGCCAGCTGTGCCCGTACCTTGGGAAGTGTGTCCATCCATCACTGAACTGGAGAGGAAGCATCCTAGGATGCTAAAAAAGCTCCATGTGATTAAGTGGTTGATTAGAGTGTAGGGCAAGTGCTGGGAGCCATGGGTTCAAATACCTGCTCTGCTATGAAGCTTACTGGGTGACCTTGGCTCTGTATCTATTGCTGAGTTAATAAGCATCAAAGGGTTTATTACCAGAGGTAGCAGCACAGTGTAGTTCTTTCAAGGAAACAAGTTTCTTCAAGGAATAGCTGGATATAAATGTAGTGATATTATTGGGTGATAGTTTAATTGTTGATAATGAGAGCTACAATTATACGAG